ACTGGTGTAGCTCATTAGTCCGGCTTTGCACCAGAGTGGGTCGCACGGCTTTGGGAGGTGCGCGCAGGAGCCGTGCCTCCCAGAGCCATGTGACCCACGCTGGTGCAAAGCTGGACTAGCAAGCCTCATGGGGCTGGACTGGGTCCTGCCACGCGCCACCTCCCTGCAGGCACAGCAGGGCAGAGGTGGGACCTGGCGCAGCATGTGGGAACCGCACACCGAGTCTAGCCAGGTCCTGCTGGCCCTGGGGTTGCTCATGCTGCCTGAGCCCAGCCGGGTCCTGCCGCCATGGGACCGGCTCAGCCTGGAAGCACAAGCAGCCCCAGGGCCAGGAGGATCCAGCTGGGCTTAGCACATGGTCCCTGAGAGCTGGGAGCTGGCAGCAGCAGGCTCAGAGCACCCCACTCCCACTGCTGCTGCAGAAGGTAAGTTATGAGCCCTGTGCAGAGAGGGCTGTGGCCCTGCAGGGTACCTGGGACCCTGTGCAGGGGGGGGCTATTGCCCTGCAAGGGGGTCCATTCCATGTGCTGTGGGGGGGCTGTATCCTGTGCGGGCCAGGGGACCCAGCTCTCCTGAGCAGCCCCACACCTACCCACACACCAACCCACACCCCCACACACACACACACACACACACACACACACACACACACACACACACACACACGTTCCCACCCCCTTTCTGCAAACATCACATCCCCCCATCACAGACCCATCATATGCGAAGAAAATCAAAAGCACACATCAACACACATAGGTATTTAGAATTTATTATCATGATGATAGAGACACTGGTAGACTTCTAAATTGCTTTACCATTGTAAATATATGAATAAAGCATTGCCCAACTAATAAATCCCTCTCTATCTCTCCCTATAGATATATAGATAGATAGATATAAAGATATAGATATCTATATATCTATCTATATCCATATATAGGTGTGTGTGTGTGTGTGTGTGTGTGTGTAGAGTGGTCTTTTGTTTTAATTGTGGAAGAACATGGATTTTGGGGTATTTTTTAAAATGGATTTGGGATGCTGCTGCAGCAGTCAAGCTGGCACAAGGGGTCCCCAGATATCAGTTGGCTGGGACCCAAAAGCTCCTGAGAGCTAGTAGCCCTGAGCTGCTTGCCAGGGCAGCTTTTTGTACTGAAGGGGCCAGGACAGGGAAGCTTTTTATACTGCTGGGGCCAGCAGAGGTGCTGGCCCTGGGCTGTAGCTCCCCCCGGCGTCAGATCCAGGAGGAGCCAGCCAGGGTTATTTTGCCCCTAGTGGCAAAATTTGCTCCACAACAAAGCTCATGTCCGAGCACATGTGCTGAGGCAAAAAGTCCCAGCTCAAATTTGCATTGCTTCTATTTGAGCGGCTGCAAGTGCTCTTGGCCATTTCAAATACTATCTGCAATTTCTTCTGTTTTAATTTGTGGAAACAGTATTATTACACTATTTGTTCTGAGTTTTCTTGTTTATCTATATAAATGTTCTTTGTGGATTTTGACTACATTGAAATTTTTCCACCCATAGGAAGAAGATGATGAGAAGGAAGCAGAAATGGATGAAGAAATCACAGTGATTCCTAGTACTGATAGTGCTATAAACCAAATAAGGAAGAAAGAATTCCAGGTGACTACATCTAGCTACAGTCAAGAGAAAATGGGGACAAAATCCAATGAAGCAAAAACAAACAGATACTTAAAACAGAAAGAATCACATGGAAAGGATATTTTCAAAGCATTTTTTTATCCCACTTCCCAGCCTGTTACTGAAAAATCAGATGAAGAGAAAGACACTTCTTTGGAAACTCAGACTGTTACCAGAATGCCTCCTCAAGTGAATGACCCCACCAAAGGTATTGAGGAAGAGTATGTATATATTTCTTCTGGCACTGAACCAACAACAACGTCTGCTGCTGGTAGCAGTGAGGGAGATTTTTTATCACCAGTTTTCAAGCCTGATCAAGATGCAGATGATTCTTGGAGCTTCATTCTTACCACTACTTCTATGCAGTTTGTTACTGAAGAAACAACCCAGGAAGACATCCTGCCCTCAGGAAGCCCAGATATAAGCATGCATGATTTTCATTCACAAGGCTATAATCAGAGTGTTTCAGAAGTTGTAGCACCCTCAGATGCTGAAGAATCTGCAGATAATACACCTTCTGTTGATGGAAAGTTGTGGTTTCATAATGCTACAGATTTGACAGATAGATCTGTTGTTCCATTGGATAGAAAGCAGTTAATTCAAACTAGTTATACCAATGCTTATATTGAGGGATTAAAGCCAGCTACAGTACCCTATTCCAGTGGTCCAGTCATGTCACAAGATACTTCAGATGCGGATATAGAATTGCCACATTATCCTACTTTTGCTCTCTCCCCTACTGAGTTATCACTTCATTCTGTCTCTTCAAGCTCTGGAGAATATGGTTCTGCTTCTGCTGCCAGTGAGGTACTCTCTCAGACAACTCAACCTGTGTATAATGGTGAGATACCTCTTCAACCTTCCTACAGTAGTGAAGTGTTTCCTCTAGTCACCCCTTTATTGTTTGACACTCAGATGCTCAACACTGCCCCTGCTACACCAGGTAGTGATGTGACCTTGCATGCTACACCTGTATTTCCCAGTGTTGATGTGTCATTTGAACCCACCCTGTCTTCCTATGATGATGTACCTTTGCTTACATTTTCCTCTGCTTCCTTCAGTAGTAGAATGTTTCACCACCTGTATACAGTTTCTCAAATGTTTCCACAAGGTACTCCAGCTGTTGCAAGTGATAAGTTGTCCCTGCATGCTTCTTTGACATTGGCAGAGAGTGATACATTAATACAGCCAAGCCTTTCTCAATTTTCTGATGTGGTATCACATCAGACCACTCATGCTGCTTCAGAGACATTGATATCTGGCCATAATAGAACTCACGTATTTTCTCAAGTTGAACCATCCAGCAGTGATTTAAAAATGCATGCAGTGTCTACAATGTCTGAACTTGCTTATGCTTTGTCTAGTAATATGGGCTACCTCCAAACCTTTACTGTTTCTTATGACTCTCCAGAATTGGTGCATGATTCTGTTGGCATATTTCATCAAGGTCCCTTATTTAGCAGCTATAACAATGTACTGGTGCATAAGCCTTCTTCTGTAATATCACAAGCTGATACTTTGCTACAGCCTACACGCTCTCTCTCTAGTGATACGGATTGGTCTGAAGCATACTCTGGTAGTGAATCCCTTTTGCCTGATACAGTTGCTTTGGCTATACTTAAAGTTTCTTCATCTGATTCTATAGGTGAATTTACATATGCAACACCTGGGTTTAGTGATGTTAATAAGACACTTCATAAAAGTGACATAAGATATGGAGATGAAAAAGAACTGCAGTTTTCCTCCTCTTTCAGTGAAATGGCTTCCCATGCTGAAAGTAAAATGATGCATGAACTTCCTATATCAGTTTTTAACAAAGATATAATTAATCAGAATACATCTTTGCAAGAAATCCCACTTCCTGTTTCTAGCACAAAGGGAATCCTTCCAGTCTCTCTTGCTTTTCCCACTACTAAGAGTTTTGATCATGATATTAGTAAATTTTCAGAAAATCACTTTTCTGTTCAGCCTTTGCATGTTGCACCTACAGCCTTTGATGACACTTTGCTTAAACCTATGCTTAGTGCAATCTCAGATCAAGCTCTCTCTGCCCCTGCTTCTAGCAAAATGTTGTCTCCTTCAACTCAACGGTACCTTTTTGAGACATCAGCTGCAATAAATAATGAAGCATTTCTACAAAGCTCCTTCCAGTCTTCTGGTGATGGCTCTCTGCTTAAAACAGCTGCAACTGTGCCTAGTGATCCAATATTGGTTGAAAGCTCCCAGGTTTTTAAAATTAGTTCTACATTTGACCAAATATTGCATCCGATGGCACCAGATTCTGCTACAAATAAAACCATGTTGCATTCTACATCTGCACCGTCAATAACTGATAATTTGTCCCACCCTTCTAGTAAGCCCACAGCATCACTTCAAGGTTTAACTGTTGCTTATGTGAGTGAGGAACATGTTTCATCCAATTTATTTAACAGTGAAGATATTCAGCTGGTTCCTCCTTTATTGCATAGTAGTGGTGTTTCATTCCAGTCAACCAGTTTAGAAAACACAAATGCCATTCCCCCACAAGTAGCAAATGCTGCAGTGGTTACTACTCCTTTCCTAACAATTGACTCATTACCAAGTATAGCCACTTCTGTAAACAGCCACATTTCTTCAAGTGTTTCTCAAAGAAGTGAGGCTACCAGTTTTTCAAGTGCTACTGTTGTTAATGGTTCTGTTCATGTACCTGCAGTTGTTTCTGATTCTCGTGTGTCTGTTCATCATACCCTTCCTTTACCCAATGCGTATTTTTCTGTTACATCTGTTTCTCCCAGCAGTGAGAGCCATTTAACCCCAACCAAGTTGCAGGTTCCCTCTAAAACATCCTCAGGGCTGCCCCCCAGTGCCAATTCTGATATTAATGTGTGGTCTTCTGTAGTAGATGATGATTATGATGAATATGATTATGCCTTACCTGTAAGTAATTGTATCACATGCACTTCCCATAAAGAAATTCAGGAAAAGGTAGTAGATGAACAGAAAACACAGGTAAACAATATAAAGGATCAGAATAACCACATTATAAATTCACATTCTGAGAAATATGAAGAAGAAAAGAAAATTACACCTGCTGCATCAGACAGTCAGATAAATCATGCCATGGACAAGCATAATTATACATCAATACTGACATTGACAGCAAGTGAGATACCTAAGAAGCACAACGATCCAACAGTATTGGAAAATCATATCCAGACTGTTAGTATCCCATTACAAAACACATCCGAATCTAAATCTTGGGCTGTTTTTACAAGTGATGAAGAGAGTGGTTCTGGTCAAGGTACTTCAGATAGCCTTAATGATAATGAGACTTCAACAGATTTCAGTTTTCCTGACCTTAATGAGAGAGACTCTGAAGGGGCAGTTGAAGCAGGTAACTCAGAATTAACTCCTGGATCATCACAGTCATCAGCACCATCTGTAACTAGTGATCACTCACCAGTATTCAACGTTTCTGAGGCAGGTTAGTTATGGATCAGTGTAATGCATAATGTGTGCACCTGTGACAATTTTTTCTGCCACAGAGAATGAAAAATTATTTTAGTATAAAATATGAGAACAGGAGGAATGTTTCAGTGACAGGAGAATGTAATAGGGCAATGGGCCTGATTAAGGAAACAATGTGGAACAGGGGATAAATGTTGAAATGATTATCCTATCAATGCAGCTTCTAATGACTCAAAATGAAAACTGATATACCCTGAAGTATTCAGATCCAAATTCTGCCTTTGGATATGTGTGTATTGTCAGTGGCACACAACTCTGAAGACAGAATTTGTCTTTTTAAAGTTTTAAGAAGGACTTGGACCCTCTATCCTTTTCTAGGAAAGCTCATTATAACACTTTTATTATGGTAATATATTTTTTCTTTATGTTTTATTTTGTATTAGTCAAGATGAAAAAGATGTTTCAGTCTGATTCGTCTTAACTTGTAAAAAAAATCATTTTCTTAATTATTTCTTCACCCATTTTCAAATTCCAGAAAGCTACCCAAGGTTTCATGCTAAAACTACTCATTTCTAAAATCACTAATGGGCAGTTCCTGCTATGTTTGCTCATGTCTAGTATTATCTGGCTTTGTGCTTAGCCTAAGTAAAAACAACAGGAGTATTTGTAGTGCAAAGATGAGTAAGGGTAACAGAATTGGACCCTACATATATATCTTGATCATTTACTATGAGATGCATTTATTGTCAAAGGCTTAAATCAATCAAACAAAAAACTTGCTTTGCTTATTGCCATTTGTGTTGAAAATGTAAGGGTAAAATCAGAACCAACAATAGTTGTACATCATTTAAAAATTCAAATTTCTTCTGATAATGTAGCGAATATTTTATGTTGAACATCTGTTGTTGTGTGTTTGCTGTATCTGTAGAGGGCAGTATCATCCAACTAAATATGCTGTTTCCTACTTCATTCAAGAAATGGCATCCATAAAGAATGCAGAAATCTTAGGTCTAATCCTGTAAATAACCAGCTGAATAACTTTGCAAGTAACTTTATGCACAGAAGTAGTCTAGTGGAACTAGTAAAGTTAGTCATGTATTTAAAAGTTGCAGTCCTGAGGTCATGCTATTCACAAGCCATATTTTTATAGTATGCCATGGTGACAGACTGACGATCTGCATAGTTCAGTTCAAAATAGCACTGAGAATTTATCAATCTCATTGAAGTTAGCAGCAGATTTATACACACAAGCAATGCAGAATTTAATCAATTATTCTGATATTGCCTAAAGCAAATTAGATCAAACAAATATATACATTTGTTTCCTTAATGTCCAGCAAAAAAAAAAATTAAGCAAACGTCATCCCAAAAGTTACATGAAGGTTGTCATAAATTATTTGTAGATTATTATAGTTAAACCTAAATTATTTTATTGTTCAGTTAACAATGAATAGCTTTGATTTTTGATGGATATGTCTTTACCATGCATTACTTTCTTTTTCAACAAGTCGGAGCACTTCTCATGAGGCCTCCTACTGAACAAATATATATGATGATTATACATACTTGCATAGGTACATCTCCAGTTCAATTTATAACAGAGAAATATTTATTGAAAGTTAACTAAACTTTTTACTATTGAGATTTTGTATAATTTTTTTTAAAAGGCTGACCGGAATTTTGGCCACACTTTATAGCTATATGGCCATTTTCATGGCTATTCTGAAACAAGACATACTTGGAGTTTCTGTATAGCAGCTGCATGGTCATTAAACCCTTTTACCCTTTTAACTGCTCCAGGAAAGGCAATGTTTCACTAACAACCCAATTAGGATAAAAGTATCAGCTTCTGTTGTGGCTGCCTATTAGCCAGTACATAGAGAATGAATAGGCTGCCTGGCCTGGAGAACAAGTCCCAGGATGACAGTTCCAAGAAGGAGCTGAAGTGGTTAGTCAAGGAGTTCAGAAGTTTCCTGTGGTGACAAGAACACTCTTGCATGGATATCAGGGGAAGAAGGAGGTGCAGGCTGGTGTATTAAAATACCACTCATTCAAAGGTAACATGTTTTCTTTTGTCAGTGTCTGCTGTGATCTTTCACTTACTTGGTCATAGCTCTGCAAAAGCCCTGTAAATATAATGCAGGAAAGAGGATGGAGATCTCCTAAGCAGTGGTGCCCTACTCAAGAGGTGTAACAGCACATCTTGGGCAGCATGAACACTTTGGGGCAGCAGTGATTTTCAGCTGCTGTCCTACTGGCCCAGTTTGGCAGCTGCAGCATTTTTTTCTGACCCCCTCACTGCCCCTCCCCCCAGTCCTCCTGCCCTAGGTATGTTGCTGCTTCTACTCATCAGCAGAGCTTTAAAATTTGTCAGTCCAGCACAGAGCTGGCTAAAATATGACATTTACTCCCAGTTAAAATTTGGATCCTAGCTAAATCATTTATAAACGATAATGATCAAATAATATGAGAGTTAATTTTCATAAGCTATTGTTTCATAAATAATCTATTTAAACTAGTGTTTGAGCAGCCAGTGTTTAATTACGGTGACATTTATTTTATCTCATCTCACTTACAAAGTCCCAAAACTTATTTTACTCAGCCTCTTGTGGAGGAAAGAAAATGAATGAGCCAAAAATTGCCAGAAAGCAAAGAGCAAGAAACCTAAGCTACCTTAATGAGCACTGTGGAATATAGAAGATTCTCTTTTAATGATGCATTAAGGAAGCATCTCTAAATCATAACCTGACCCATGGATACATTTCTGTTTCTGTGGTGGTGGATTCAAATATGAAATTCATTTCTATTTTAGTTGTGCATAATTTTATTTATCATATATATATCATAAAATATGATTGTACATAATATATTTATGTATATATCATATAAAATGTGTTTTGTACATAATATTGTACATAATATATAGTTATATATATAATATTTTATATGTACATTATACATATAACATGTTTATACATAATATATGCAAGTATATATTATGTTACATATAATTGTATATATTGTGTGGGTGTGTGCTTATATATTATATATATTTCTATATTGTATACATGATATATGTATTTATACGATATATGTAATATTTAGTATATAATTTAAAGGATCAAAAACTGTCAATTGATATAGGGAGAAGTACACACCTAGACTATATATGATTCTGCTCTTTTAGTGTTTATTATAGGATTTGGCATTTGGAGACATGAATAAAATGACAAAAGACTACCTCAAGCCTGGAGGAAGGCATTCTTCTTGCCCCCCACCCATTGCAAGTAATTCTAATGTAAAACACTAAGCATGGTACTGTTTACAAGTGTAAGACCATGTTCTACCCTGTGAATATCTCCAAGCTTGTATGAGTGTAGACAGTGCAAAGGATCATATTCTCATCTCATATGCATATGTATATTGAAATCAACAAATGTGTATGCGTAACCTTTAGCTTATTCACCAGAAATGTAAGGTCCACTTTTCAGAAATAGCCTCCAATGCTGTGAGTATAATTTGTACCTGCAATTAGTTGTGACCACAAATTATATTATTTGCCGTTTGCCTTTCTGGATTATGGGAGCAGTCAGTTCATTAGATGTTCACGTGTTATAAATTAGGAACAAAACTGTACCTGCAAAATTGGAAGCTAGGTAGAGGTCTTTCTCTACATCGCGCCCTTGGTCCCAAGAATACTGAAAGTGATTGTAGGCTGCTGATTGTCTTGTCATAAAACCATTTCAATCACATAGATAATGCTGACAACTGCAGAGGATCAATTAGATCAATTTGTAGTGCCTTTGCAGATTTAATTTGGTACTTGTATTGAGGATCTTCTCTAATGGGAGTTTTATCCGAGCAGAAATGTAAAATTAGTCCCTTAAGCCCCAGTCCTGAATCTGATTGCAAGCAGGAACACTTCACTTCTCATGTAGAGTTTCACTGATTTAGGGCTCTGTATCAATGCAGGGATCTGTCCATGCAGTTCTTATTGAAAGAATAGGGCTCTGTTCCCAACAACTGCTCATTAAAATCCACAATCAAGTTCATCCACTTCAAGTTTAAAGATTGAGCAGCATCCAAGTTGCGGTGTTAGGCCTCTAACATTTTATTTTAGTGGAATTTTAAGACTGTTTTCACAAATTCTGGACGTGTGCATTTAGTCATCCAGTAGTCATCCACACAGCCATATGAGCTCTATAGAATGTATCTGTTTTTCTAATCATTTGATTCTCCTCAAAAAAACAAAAAACAAACATGAGGTGAAATTCTGGTCCCAGTGATGTTGATGGGAATTTTGTCATTGACTTCAATGGAAGTAGAATTTCTTCTGTGTGTTAAGGCCAAAATTACAAACCAAGCAAAATATTAAAATATTAGTTTCAGATGCAAGAGTGCAGTCATGTAGTTCTATACTGTGCTAAAGAAATTGACCTTTGATTCTTATTGAACAAAGGAACAATGCTTTTCATTACATAGATTAAATTGTAAGATTACATATCACTTCATGTATTTCAGTATCATATATTTAGATCCTGCCCTTACATAGACATTTAAGAATGAAAAGCTTTCATAGTTAAATGTTATGTTAACAAAAAATGCATTTCTTTAAAAAGTAGTTCTACACTGCTGGGATGCTCTAGTACTTTGCTTTACTTTCTGTCTGCTTATTTCCTTTAAACTGGTTTGCAAAAATGTATATTTTGTGCAGTACACTAAAAATTAGGTAAGTGACATTACCTAGGGCTCTTATAAACACATTCAGTTACACCATGCCTTTTGTCAAAGTTTAAACATGGATTATTTCAATTTTCTCTGACTACAGAGGCAAGTAATAGTAGCCATGAGTCTCGTATTGGTCTAGCTGAGAGTCTGGAATCAGAGAAGAAGACAGTTATACCACTTGTGGTCGTATCAGCCCTGACTTTTATCTGTCTAGTGATTCTTGTGGGTATTCTCATATATTGGAGGTAAGTAATTAATTTTTGTAGTTCTACAAAGCCCAGATTTTATCCTGATTAGAACAATGTGAGTGGCATTACCGAGCAGATTTGCAAGAGATAAAAATGGAGCCTGATACTAGCAGCTGCTATAGTTATCATCGTCACCTTCATAATTTATTTGCATTGCAGGAGCACCTAGATGCTTCAGCCCACAGTCCTAAGCACTGTACAAGTATGTTACAAAAAGACAGTCTGCCTTAAAGTCTTTGCTTTAGCTATAATTATGTTTTGTTTCATATGGAAATATCTCATTTCTGTATGAATAGATGTTAATAAACAATTATTTGTGTGATTAGTTATATTTGGAAATAAAATGCAACAAGGAATAAAATAAACACCACAGTTCCTTTCTACATATACCATAACTGTAAAAGTAAAGAATGGATCATTTACAAACCAAAGACTAGAACCTGAAATCCTTGACATCAGTGGGAATTTTGTAAAGGACAGCAG